GGTATTAACACGATACTCTGTCCATTTTAAAAAATGATTACCTTATATTAATTGTGCAATTTAATGATAAAAGTTTAAATATTTATTTCGCCCCTAAGAATTTAAAAAATTGATTAAAGAAAAGAAAACTAATTTTTTTGGTTTTATTTTTTGTGCTTGACGAGATGTGTCCGGCTCCGACGTATCCCTCGGGACAATAGGGAATCCAAAGCTATGTCGTTCTGTAGAAAATACTTATGTGTTGATTGAATTTAATTTTTTTTTTAAAAATAATTTTAAAGAAAATCATTGGAAAGTTTTTGGCTTTGATGATATATATTTATTTCAATAATTTTTATTTTAATTATTGTAAAATTTACAATAGATTTTGAATCACCAAGCAGTCATGGCTAAAATGATTCAAAAGACTGCGGGATTAACAAGTTATCTCAACTCAGCTAATCCTTTTAAAAATAGATTTGACGTTATTATTTTTTTATTATAAATTTTACAATAAATTTTGAGTCATCAAGCCGTCACAACTAAAATGATTCAAAAAATTACGAGATTAACAAACTCTCACGGTTAAATTATCCATTGAGAATGGATGACCATACATCAACATTGTAAATCAATGCGTGAATTAAAACAAACTTTAAAATTTAATCTTTGTATTTTTTTTTTGTAACGTTTATGAATAATAATTGATCGTATCAAGACTATAAATATATAAATTACACAATGAATATATATCATGAAAACAAACAAGAATTAAAACATTAAAAAAAACACTCGTTACTTTCTTATGTTTTCTATTTTTTTGTAATTTTTTATGTTTTGCTAAATTCTATCCTAATTAAAATATTTTTTTTAAAGAATCTTACATATATATTTTCATCCCATTATTTTTATTAACCCTTTTTACTATCTTAACATTATGAAAAAAGAAAGGTACCTATCCTATTCTAATAAATCAAAGGCTGTCGAAACCTAATACTATAAGAATTCATGAAATTGATTTGTTATTGTATTTATATATTTTTTAAAAGAATAAAAAGAAAACCTAAAAGCCTAAGCCTAGGAGAAAAGTTATTGTAGTCCCGGAACACCATTATTAGGTGTTCCTTTTTCCTAAATTGGAAATTTTGTATGACATTTTTACCCTTGTCATTTTGCTTATTTCCATCTATGTCCTACTTTTTTTCTACTTTTGGCCAAGGTACACATGCACCTGGTCCACTATATCTTTTCTCCTACGCCTAGTATAGATGCGAAACAAATAATAAAAAAACATTGAAATGCAGCAGGTGCAGAGCTTGCCATTAATATCCATTGTTAGTTAAATTGAAAACAAAAGATAATTATAAAAAAAGGAAAGGAAAACTCACAAATAAAGGAATATCCTTGACAAAAGCAAAGGAGGAAAATGCATAAGAATGAAAAAAGGCTCAAGGACTTATGAGACATGAGAGAAGTCGTGGTGCACTCATGGCTAATTCATAGTCACTGCTATGGCTTGGCGGCATGCTGGTCGAGGTCCACACGGTGGCTGTGAGCTGATCTGCAAGTGCAAGGTTGGATGGAGTTGCAATGGAGTTGAGCCTGTGGTGCGATGGTCACTGGTCAGTGTTTGATGGATTTGAAAGTTGGTGGTTATGGGTTTATGGATCTTTTGTGGAGACTAACAAATTTTGATTTGAAGGATCTTTAAAAGTTCAAAGAAGTTTGGGATTTCTCTACTGGTTCTCACCCTCTATCTCTTTCTACATTATTTTTGGAGCAACCAAAAACCAAATCTCCCTTTTTCATTTTCTGCTTTATAACTTTATAGAAGAAAGAAGATAAACTTCACTCCCTATTGCCTGTTGAATCAAATAAAGCCATGGGTTTTCTAGTGCAGTGCCAGGAGGTTGCTTATGCAAATCAAATGGGGGTCTCCTCCAAAATTCAACTTTAATGCATTGCTTCTTGGTCTCAATTTACAATCTATGTCAATTTTCCATTTTTGTTTTCTGCATTTTTCTTGTGAGTAGACTTGCATAGACCTTGCCTTGTGTTGATAGATAAGTCACCTCCACCTTTATTATTTATTTTTTATTCTTTTGTTCTGTTTTTAAATTTTAATTTCCTGGACAAAATTTGGTATCTACACTTGGCATTTTGAGATATCGTTTTGATGCACTTGGTAGTTGTTTATTTTGTATCATTGACTTAGTGCATGAATATTGGTCTTGTATGAGATGTTGTGGACATGCTTAGAGTTATTCATGCTTTTGTATCTAAGTCATTTGATATTATGTTGATTATGTAATAGTTAAATTTGATAGTTGATGTAAATATAATTGTATAATTGAAGAACATTGTATATGTAAATATTGATGTATATGATGGAAGGATTTTAGGCCTATTGTAGTTATTAAGGATGTTTAATTATAATGAAAGATAAATGGGACATTGGGTATGAAAAAATAATAAGAGAAATTGATGTATATTGTGAGTCGTAAGTACACCAAAGTTTACTGATCCTTTGAATGCCACCCTTTTGGTCTATTAGGCACCCTTTTTGAGTATTGGAATACACTTGTGTAAAGTGGGAAAAATTGTAAAAACGAAAGAGACTCTGTTGAAATTTCTAGAAAAATAATGAAATTTTACTCTAATTTTGAGAGACCATAACTCTCTCCATAGTGGTCCAAATAAAGCGTATCATATATTATTTTGAAGCTTAAGATGTCTCCTATATTTTCATAAAATTTGGTATCATTTGGAGTTATAAAATCTGCCCAATTTGAGTTTGAATGAAAGTTGTTCAATTCGCGTTGTAAGTTGACAGCATTGTTACACGTTTTTGAAAAATTCATATATCTCTCATTTTTTATCCAAATTAGGCTTATGATATATAAAACTGAAGATTGAGGTGTCTTCTAGAATATATTAAAATTTGGTAGAAAATAGATAAGAGAATTGACTGCAGTTCAAAAAGCAGTGAGGTATGTTTGGGTTTTTGAAAGTGCAGTTTTGATAGTTTTAAGAAATTAACTCACCGCGAGCGTATCCGAAGTTGTAGAACACCAAATGGGGCGTGTGGTACCTTGTTGGAAAGGTACAAGAGTGTAACATAACATATCAAAAGATGGGAATTTATGGAAAGTAATCCAGCTGCAGTTTTGATAAAACTGAATGTACCTAAAGTAGGTGAAACATCAAATTGTATATTTGTGCTTTGTTGGTTTATGGGAACCACTTAGCAACTTCATATAGATGTTGTATGATGTTAAGTAATAATATTTATGGTTTCACAATAGTTTTGAGTTACGATCACATTTTTGAAAAATGTTGAATACAGACGTTTTATAAACATAAGGATTTTGTAAACGATATTTAAAAGAAAAAAATTTACCGTAATTTTAAATGAATTATTGTGATTGTAACTGCGTATCATAATTGATGATAATATTACCGGATGCATACGAGGTGTTACATGCACATTCTTCATACGCGTTTTGTAGAACACGATCTTTTTACATTACATTAGTAAATAGCTTGCCAAAATAATTAAATGGATAAATCATGAGTCAAAAAAACCAAGTGATAAAAGATTTGAATAATTTACATTAGGTTATAAGTTCAATCATCATATTCTTGCGCTTTGCATGGCTTCTTCTCAAAGGACACTGGTTAAAGAATGAACATTATGATTACTCAGATAAAATAAAAAGAAATAATAAAGTTAACTATTTTTTTTCTATTTCTGTTTCCTTAAACAATAACTTAAAAAACATTCGTTAGAAATTTTCTTTTTATATTTTTCAATCAGGGTTCCAAACTTCCAATCATAATGTAATGTTTCTTTTTCTTCCACCCATAACTCGTTTCATTTCCTTCCCAATGTGAATTTTGATATTCTTAATATAAATTCATTTTGATACGGCTGTTTAGTCCATTTGGTAGATTCTTATAATATTTCAATGTAAGATAGTAATTATGTTCGTTGTGTGATACTGGGAAATGCAAAACATCGGAGATTTATAAAATTCAAGCCATTGATCCTAAATAAATATAACAATAATCAATAAAATAATCATGTGAATTGCCAATGGGTGTACATGATCTTCATCTTCAGTTTTCTTGTAACCAATGGTAAACCATGCAAAGTAGCAGAAAATGGATAACAAAGAAGGAAAATCTTATTTGGGTAACTCTTGGAGAAATTGATAGGGAATGAAGAGGTATGCAATAAGAGAGAATACCAATGCTGGTATACTGTAACACTGTTGAATGAAGATACTGTGGCTAAGACTGAAGTTAGCTTGTGTTACTGAGAAAACTCCAATAACCCCAAAGAAGTTCACAAGCAAAGCAAAAAATGGAAGTTATCTATCCTGTATAATGTTGAAGAGCCAAATCTTAAAGATAACTTGAATAAACCTAACCATGCTGAAGACCATAATAATGACAATTATGTACAGGAAGTATTGGTGGTCTTGTTAGTTTTGACCTTGATGAAGCCTTACAGGATACCTGAAAATATCCTCAACTTAATCAATCTGCAAAGTTTGATTAAGTTATCATGGAATTGAAGTAGTTGTAATGTCTTCAAGCAGGAAGTTAAAAGACTATGATATCCAAAATAGCAAAGAATTTGTCTTTGAGAAAAATGATAAGGCAAGATGAAAGTTCTGATATTTTATCAGTAAAAGAAAATAGGGATTATGTGATTGGTCGGTCCAGTGCTTAGAGCTATGAAAATAGTTTATTGATAAAAATATTCTGTTTTCAGAATAATTACCACTGCAGAGATGGAAACAACCAATTCTGTCATTGCGTATGCTTTTGTTGAGATAGAAAATGATTGGAATTGCATCTCAAGTCAACAGAAGACACGGTATTATTAACTGCAAGTGACTTCAGTTAATGAAATATGCTACATCTGTTTCGGTTAACAAAGCATTCATTCATGGATATGACTAATTGTAAAGCTAAGCATTAATGCAAAATCTTAAGATCATACAGGAACACACAGAACGTGGCACCAACATCATCTTCCACTTCTGCATGGATGTGGATGAGGAGATCCTATACGCCCCATCAGTTATTAGCCTAGAAGCTAGAGGACACAGAATAATCCTAATTTGTTGACAACAACACTTCTTTCAACCTCACCATGAAACCAAGGGTCCAAATGCAGCCTCCCATAAACTGCTGTCATGGGAATGGAATAGCTCTTCAGATTAACACTAAACTCCTTTAACTTCATTTCCTCGGCTTCCTTCCCTTCCACCAGCCTTGAGAATTCAACTTTGCAGTTTGCACAACCATGCATGTTCCATGTATATCCAGGGCCTTGGCAGCACCAACCTTCCATTTTTAGTTGGTTTTGATTGTGGCAGAGTAAAAGGTTTTTGCTTCTCAATGAAAGAATTAAAAAGTAAAAGAGAGGTGTCACACTTATCAATTAAGGACTTGAGCATTTTTCCCTCTCCATGGAAATCTTTCAACTCCACTTTCTTCCCCATTTAAGATATGATGAGATAAAGGGTTACAATCACTTTGCCCACTCCAACAATACAAAGAGTTTAGCACTTTCCCAGCTTCAGATAACATCACTTCAACATTTAAACCTGAACACCACATAATGCAAGACCAAAGCAGATGCCCTATTTGTTGTCCATCCCTTGTCATCATCTAACAACCCCCCAAATTCAAAAGCAATCAACACAAGTGCATTCAATTTTTTATTTTTATTTTCAACCAGAAAAGAAAAGGGATTAAACAGAGAAAAATGAAGCAGAAAACTCATCAAACACTTACCAATTCATGCAAGACAGAAGATGTCATCAGTCATCAACAAAATATACTGCAAAATCCTCAAAGGAGCATTTCCAAAATCTAAATGTGGCAACCTCAACTCCCTAACTCTACACGCCCCATCGGGTGCTCCAACCCCGCTGACCCGACCCATCCGAACCCGGTTCACTTCCACCTTTCTGAAGAGGTAAACGGCACCGCCACCGCCACCGCCACCGCCCTGACCCGCCGATGGGTTTTTACTTGTTCTGAAAAAGGTCCAACCTTTACCGGCGAGAACCCGGCAAAACCCCTCCATCGTATCGACCCGGTGGCCGGCGACCCGCGAGTACAGAGACACGGAGCAGCAATCCCAGTTGCTCCCGTTGCCGCCGCATGCTCCGGCGGCGTCACGGTGGCCATCGGAGTTGAAAAGGACGAGCTTGAAGGCGCGTGGGGAGAGGTTGACGAAAAAGCGAAGGTGGGTAAGTGGTGCTGCGGCGAGGGAAGGGAAGGGAATGGGAACGGCGTCGTTTAAGAGAGACCATGTAGCAGAGGAGGCAGAGAAGGAACAAGTGGATGGGGGTGAAGTTGAGGATGATGATGATGGTGTGGATGATGGGTTGGAGAAGATGATGTGGGAAAGTGATGGTGTTGGGTACAAGTCCATGCCCAAATCTCTTGCAATGGTTGCAAGCCTATATGTGTCTCTGATTATCTCTTTGTTTGGGAGGAATACAAGACATGGGGTTTTGGATCTTCTTTTTCTCCTTCTTCTTCTTTGATGGTGGGGTTGTGAGGTGGCATGAGCTTCATTGGCTTCTTCTTCATCATCATCATCATCATCATCATCATGGGTGTGGACATTGTGCTGATTTTGTGTTAGCATGTGAGGGTTGTGGTTGATGGTTTCACCTAAGACCAGAGAGCGAACCAGCTTTAGTGGAAGCATGTTTTTTTTTCTTTGCCTTGGCTTCACGAATCACATGTCTTGTCTTGTCCTTCTCGTTCTTCTTTTTGACGAAATCTAGGTTACCCGGTTTAGTATAGTAAACCTTTGAATTCTTTTTTGGTTTTGCACTTACCTACTACATTAGATTATGGTATGGGAATAAGGGTATCTTTTTCTCACGAGAAAAAACATATATGTTACACACTTATCAAAAAATATGTCTTGAATTAAATAAAAAACATACATAGACCCCGCATATTTTATGTCTATGAAAGTTAAAGAGTCAATTTTTCCACCGTAATATTACTATAATAATACCAAACCGAAAGTTCACACTCTACTTTCAAATTTCCTTTTTTTTTTTTAAATATGTACATTGTTTTTTTCTTCTCTATAATTGATCCCTTGAAATATCTTACTGATTGAATGACTCATCTGAGTACTTACAAATAATATACTAAGAGAGGACCGCATAGCTTTATTATGCTGATAATTATGTTGGCTTAACAAATGAAACAGTCGATTTCTGAATTTTGAGTCAGGGAATGAATATTTTTCTTCTATCCAATTGATCCCTTGAAATATCTTACTGATTGAATGACTTGTCTGAGTTGTGCGATTTTAGTTGAATTTCATTGGGGGCACCACCTAATTTCTACTTGCTCATTAAGACAAATGTATGTTGTATGTGAGATGTCTCTTGATATTTCTTCAGTCATTTAGTGGCTTTGACTGGAGCACTGTCACTGTTGCTAAAAAGATTTTCTTATTTTTTGATGTGTTGACACACTGGAAATGCAAAAATCAATAACTGGTAACGTTATCCTTCTGATTTTCATGGCTGAGAACTCACCACAAGGTCTAAATATATCTGTACCTGCTAACTACCATATTAAACTCTACTGTCTATATCTAGACTATTATAATGATCCAGTACCCTCCTGAATTGGCGAAGATCTTTCTGGTTCTACCATGAAAAGCCTATGTTCTGCGATGTTCTTTCATGCCAGGTACCTTTTTTTCCAACTTACATGCTTGCTTACTGCAACTTTTTTTAAGTAGAACCAATGGTTGTTCATATATTTGTTATTCTGAGATATAAAAGAAAGATGGTCAATGAAACTCGCGACAATGCAAAATCACCTAAAAGAATGATAGAATTGCCAAAACATTGTGCAAGAAAAACTACAATTCTATCATAACTGATGACTCTCTAAATCCAGTTCTTCATAATGATTGACAGTGCCCCAGTTCGCAGCAGAGCCTTTTCAGACCATTTAACTAGAAAGAGCTTTGGAAAGCAACTTTACTTCCACTCCCGTTGCCTTGTTTTCTCTTCATACTCGTAAACCCTCTCACCCTCAACAATTTAATGACCCTTTTTATTTGTTCAACTCTGATATTCTTTTATGTGGATTGCTTGCATGCATGTATGGTTTCAAGAGGTTCTGCATCTCTATCAGTAATGGAAGAAGTTGAAGAGAAGCCTATATTTGATGGAGAGAAGGCTGATTTGCTTGTTAAGGAGCTTAGAAAGAACTTTGATTCAGGCAAGACAAAAAGCTATAAATGGAGGATTTCCCAGTTAGAGGGCATAGCTAAGATGCTAGAAGAGAGGGAGAAGGACATTATTACCGCAGTATATAAGGACCTTTCTAAACCAGGATTCGAAGCATTTATATCTGAGGTCTCCAATTTTCTAATTTGTTTCTATCTTCAAAAATATATGATTTATGCTTCATATTTTTCTTTTGTCACTTACTATAAAGAAAATTCTTTGCATTAAATTTTCCATTTGTCCTTGCCATCATCATAGTTACAAAACTTATGCGTTTGCTTCTTAATGCAGGTGTCTCAGACAAGATCCTCATGTAGTGAAGCACTTAAAGAACTGAATCACTGGATGAAGCCTGAAAAGGTAATTACCAAGAATAACAATGACAATAAGTTCCAACTTGGCTTTAGAATAATCAGCTGCATTTAACACACAAGTTTTTCCCTTTCAGGTAAAGACTTCAATTACAACATATCCATCAACAGCAGAGATTGTGTCAGAACCACTGGGAGTTGTGTTGGTCATCTCAACATGGAACTTTCCTTTCTGTATGTAAAAAAAGCTTGTGCTTTCACACATTTCCTTTATCTTAACTGCATTGGGTTAAATTCGTTATCATTATTGTTGAGCTCTTCTATGCACATCATATATACAGTATAGACACAAGTCTCATGTAGTGGGATATATTAACTCTTCGTTAGAAATAAAACTATTCATCTAACGACTTAAGTTTTTGGAATAGTTGGTTCATGACATGATATCAGAGCTTCTATTATTATATAGTATAGAGATCGATTTTTTTTTTCCATTCTTTTGAATAAAAGATAAATTTCAACACAATGTAAAATAGCCACGTGAATTGTATACTTTAAGCTCAAAGGGCTTTTGTGTGAGGAGACATGACTTGGATTCCTTTCGGTTGATGAGTACTTATTTCTTCTCTTCAGTGTTATCACTTGATCCGGTCATTGGTGCAATTTCAGCGGGCAATGCAGTGGTTCTGAAACCATCAGAAATTGCTCCAGCAACATCATCACTGCTTGCAAATTTGCTCAAAGATTATGTAGACAACTCTGCAATAAGAGTTATTGAAGGGGCTGTTCCTGAAACAACTGCACTCTTGGAGCAGAAGTGGGATAAGATACTATACACTGGTAATTATTCTTCAATATATTACAACAGTATATCACAAGATCCTAGTATATCAAACAGATTCATCAGTCTGTTTATAAAATATGTATGGTAGAAAATCTCTGTTATGCTTCAACTGTTGTATATCCGTTTTTTATCTTTTCTTTTTTAATCTCAAGAAGATCCATTGCTCCTTACTGTTGTTGCTTTTATTTTGGTCATCTATATCATTCTGAATCTCTGGGTTTAAGTCCAGCTATTATGAAGTGCCACCTCCATGATCTGCAGCTAGAGATTGGAGTTGTCTCTTATATTTCAAAATCTAATAATTACTATAATTTCCATCAAGAAATTTCGAGTTAACATGAGTGGCTTTTTACACCATATGTAAGTTTTAATTTGAAATAACAAGTCACAGGTATTCTATTGAACTAGTTCCTCTTTAGAATGCCAACTTTAAAGTTTCCATGCATAATAGACCAATTTTAAGCAGGTAGTGCTAGAGTAGGCCGCATTGTCATGGCTGCTGCTGCAAAGCACCTCACCCCAGTAATTCTGGAACTTGGAGGAAAGTGCCCAGCTGTTGTTGATTCAAATGTCAACTTAAAAGTAATGTTATCTTCTGAGCTCATTATTTAGGCATCCAAATAGGGAAATAGATGTGTCATGTTACATCCAAATAACATAGTTTATTGTATAATAACCATTGGAGATTTCAGGTTACTGCTAGGAGGATAGTAGCTGGAAAGTGGGCTACCAATAGTGGACAAGCATGCATTTCTGTTGATTATATCATCACAAAAAAGGAATTTGCTCCAACACTTGTAAGATTGCCTCAACAATAAAAAATTCAAATGTGCTATTCAAAGAGTATTATACTAGATAAATTCTCATTCAACAGATAAATGCTCTGAAAGAGGAATTGGAGCAATTTTTTGGGAACGATCCAATGGAATCAAAAGACATGTCACGTATTGTGTCTCCAACCCAATTTGCACGGCTTGTGAAGCTCTTGGATGAGGATAAGGTATCTGGCAAAATTATTTTAGGAGGTCAGAAGGATGAGAAGCAATTGTGAGTTGTATTACCTTATTGTTTATTAATATTAGGTAATAGTCATTTATTTCAATACGGTAACATCAATTCTCCCTCCTTATTGTAGAAAGATTTCTCCAACCATCATATTGGATGCCCCAGAAGATTCTATGGTAATGCAAGAGGAGATATTTGGGCCAATAATGCCAATTATCACTGTGAGTATTAGATCATAAAGGAATAGTACATTTGGGAGTGTATCAAAAGGAGAATATCTTCCTGCAAGGTTTCAATTGTTTTCTACATAAATGTTTTGGCTTTAATACTTCTTATGTTGCTGCATATAAGAAATTTTGCAATAACACATAGAAAGTCAGGATCTGCATCGCTTTTTTTTTTTTAAATGCCAAGATCCGTATGCAAATCCCTAATGTAAATACGTTTGCTGCAAAATTTCTCATCTGCTGTCGTTGCAGAAGTGGTGAACCCAAAGTTTTTACACTTAAAGAGTCAGTTTGGTACACCTTTCAAATTGAGGGTGAAAAATTCAGAGATGAGTTTTTCATAAAAAGTTTATCCCTGAAATTTTCATCCTCATCTTTAAGGGGACAATGCTCTACCATCTACTACTTATAACTTATCTTCCTTACTCCCTTTTGCATCCCCCCTTGTTTCCAACAAGTTGCCACTTGATGAAATTATTTTTGGAAGGACTTGAGTTTTTTTCCAGCTCATATTTCACATGAATTTAAGCACATATGCAGGTTGACAACATAGAAGATAGCTTTAGTATAATCAAATCAAAGCCAAAACCTCTTGCTGCATATCTCTTCACAAACAATGAGCAGCTGAAGAAGGATTATGTGGAAAACATATCTTCTGGAGGGATGCTCATCAATGACACTATCTTACATGTACTTATTCTCTTCCTGAAATTTATTCAGAGAAAGATTAATCATATGCTAGCATTTTATTTTATCTATGTTCCTATTTTTATAAATCCACATGTCTGTGTATGTATGTTCATTATAAACATGCACGATGGCATAATCATGTGTTGATTAACTGACCTATCCCATTAACAACAATGTTCACGTAGGTTGCAGTTCGTGGTTTGCCATTTGGAGGAGTTGGAGAGAGTGGAATGGGTTCATACCATGGAAAATTCTCATTTGATGGTTTCAGTCATAAGAAGGCAGTCCTATATAGAAGTTTTGATGCAGATTCATCCTTAAGGTATCCCCCATATACACCCGAAAAGCAAAAATTGTTGAAGGCT